AGTTAGAACTTTCCACACTTTTTTTGTGATCCATAGAAATGCATTTTACATTGTGACCTAGCATATACATACATATGCATATGCATATTACATGGATATATAACTAAGGCAAAAATTTCATGAAATAATACTTTTTTTTTTTGAGACAGAGTTTCACTCTTGTTGCACAGGCTGGAGTGCAATGACACAATTCCAGCTCACTGCAACCTCCGCCTCCCGGGTTCAAGCAATTCTCCTGCCTCAGCCTCCCAAATAGCTGGGATTACAGGCATGCACCACCATGCCCAGCTAATTTTGTACTTTTAGTAGAGACAGGGTTTCACCATGTTGGTCAGGCTGTTTTTGAACTCCTGACCTCGAGTGATCCACCCGCCTCGGCCTCCCAAAGTGCTAGGATTACAGGTGTGAGCCACCATGCCTGGCCAGTGCACTTTACTTCTATTATTATTACATTGTAATATACAATGAAATAATTAATTATACAACTCACCATAATGTAGAATCAGTGGGAGCCCTGAGATTGTTTTCCTGCAACTAGGCAGTCCCATCTGGGGGTGATGGGGTCAATGACAGATCATCAGGCATTAGATTCTCGTAAGGAGCATGTAACCTAGATCCCTCACATGCACAGTTCACAATAGGATTCACACTTCTATGAGAATCTAATGCTGCTGCTGCTGTGACAAGAGGCGGAGCTCAGGTGGTAATGAGAGTGATGGGGAGTGGCTGTAAATGTAGATGAAGCTTTACTCACTTGCCCACTGGTCGTCCCCTGCTGTGTAGCCAGGTCCCTAACAGGTCACAGACCAGTATCAATCTGTGCCCCAGGGCTTAGGGACCCCTGCACTAGATGATTAATATTTACATTGAATTTTGAGAAGCACTGGCTGGGCGAAGTGGTTCACACCTGTAATCCCAGCTCTTTGTGGGGCCAAGGCAGGCAGATCACTTGAGGCCAGGAGTTCGAGACCAGCCTGGCCAACATGGCGAAACCCTGTCTCTACTAAAAATACAAAAATTAGCTGGGTGTGGTGGCCTCCCAGCTACTTGGGAGGCTGAGGGAGGAGAATCGCTTCAAACCAGGAGGCGGGTTTGAGGCCAGGAGTTCAAGACCAGCCTGGCCAACATGGCAAAACCCCATCTCTACTAAAAATACAAAAAAAATTAGCGTTGCGTGCCTGTAGTCTCAGCTAACCAGGTGGCTGAGGCAGAAGTATCGCTTGAACCCAGGAGGCAATGTTGCAGTGAGCTGAGATCACACCACTGCACTCCAGCCTGAGCAACAAAGCAAGACTCTGTCTCAAAATAAATAAATAAAATAAAATAGAGATGATGATATCAATAAACTCTTATCAGTGACATATTTGAGAGATATAGTAAAAGAGTGCTTCACTATACTTTTTGTAAAATTCCACACAAAGCATTTAAAAATCTAATTTATGGGATGTCCTTTTAAAATGGTCACTTCTATAATGTATTTATATTTATAGCACAATTAATTTGTATGCAATAAAAATATAAAATCTACAAATTATGGAATATGCCAGTATTTCAGTCCATTCCTGTTGCCATAACAAAATAACTTAGAGTGGGTAATTTATAAACAACAGAAATTTATTTCTCACAGTTCTGGAGGTTGGAAAGCACAAAATCAGCACCAGCATGTTCAGTGTCACTCTCTGCTTCCAAAATGGTGCTTTCTTGGTGCATACTCACATGGTAGGAAGAGTGAAAAGGAACAAGCAGCTTCCTTGCACCTTATATAAAGTCATTAAATCCCATTCATAAGAGCTCTGCCCTCATGACTTAATTACTTCCTAAAGACCCCACCTCTTAATTCTAGCATATTGGCAATTATGTTTCAACATATGAATTTTGGGGGGTACATTTAGAACACAGCAGCCAATTTCCTAGTTCTTGACATATATGTGAACATCCTGGAATACAGAGGGGTTGGGAGTATACGTAACTCTCCATCTATGTATTTCCACAATCCCAATAACATTTTACACTCATACTGACACTCCAAATACTCTTTCTCCTCTTTCTGTGTTGGTTTCTACTTTTCTGGTTAACAATTGCCAAAGCAGGAAAATAAGAAAGCCCACGACAATGGAACTGTCCAGAGTTTCGTTTCTTTATACAAGAATATTGTGTCCTGGCTGGGCACAGTAGCTCACGCCTGTAATCCCAGCACTTTGGGAGGCAGAGGCGGGTGGATCACTTGAGGCCAGGAGTCCGAAAAAAGAAAACAGTCCATTTATAACCTAAAATGCCTTTATTTCTTCAGTAAATAAGAAAATGAAAAACAAACATAAAAACCCTGTATCCTCTGCTGGTGCATTTCAGAAATGTCACCATTTCAAACATAAGGAAATAACTTTCTTGATACATAAATACTAGAAGCCCAAGAAAATATGAGGGGAAAATTATCTATAGTCATATGCTAAATATCTCTGTAATCAAAGATAAAGATGCTTAATTTATGTACAATCCTATTATAATTTACCCTGAGTTAATATCCTTGGGGAAAAGAATCCTTTAAGAATTCCATTCAGTAAAACACTACATTAGGATAATATGAACAACATATTGTTTTATTTTTTAAAATATGTTTAGAGACAGGGCCTTGCTGTATCACCCTGGCTAGAGTACAGTGGTGTAATCATAGTTCACTGCAGCCTCAAACTCCTGGGCTCAAGCGATCCTCCTAGCTCAGCTTCCCAAGTAGCCAGGACTACAGGTTGGCATCATCATGTCTGGCTAATTTTTCTTTTTTCCTTTTTTTTTTTTTTTTTTTTTTGTAGAGATGGGGGTCTCTCTGTTGCCCAAGCTTGTCTCAAACTCCTGAGGGCTCAAGCAATCCTTCTGCTTTGGTGTCCCAACGTGCTGAGATTACTGAGCCTGGCCTATGAACAACATACTAAACTCTAACATCGTCACAGAATGATACTCCAGATTATTTTAAAGTTGTCTGCCTCAACAACATAACAGTACCAAAATTTCCAATTAAAAAAAATCAACTAGGCACGGTGGCTCACACTTGTAATCTTCCTTTTGGGAGGCCAAGGTGGGGCCATTCCTTGAGCCCAGGAGTACGAGACCAGCCTGGGCAACACAGAAAGACCATGTCTCTACAAAAAAATTTAAAAATTAGCCAACCATGGTGGTGTGTACCTGTGGTTCCAGCTACTTGGGAGGCTGAAGTGGGAGGATCATTTGAGTCCAAGGGGTCTAGGTTGCAGTGAGCCATGATCATGCTCTCACACTCCAGCCTGGGTGACAGAGCAAGACCCTGAATAAACGAATGAATGAATGAATATTTAAAAAATCAAACTAGCCCTCTCTTTCATCATTTACTTCTAACAGTAGTTTGTTTTACAAGCAAATATCAAGTACACGGTTAGATGGGATACACATTCACTCATAAACCTAAGTAAGCAAAAATCCCAAGGATCTGTAAAACTGTCAAAGGCAACATAAAAGGCTGACCTGGCAAATCGCTTTCTGTTTTTGTTTGTTGTTTTTTGTAGACAGAGTCTTGCTCTGGCGCCCAGGCTGGAGTGAGGTGGTGTGATCTTGGCTCACTGCAGCCTCTGCCTCCCGAGCTCAAGCAATCCTTCCACCTCAGCCTCCTGAGTAGCTGGGACTACAGGCATGTGCTACCACGTCTGGCTAAATTTGTGTGTGTATGTGTGTATGTGTGCATGTATGTATGTGTGTGTGTGTGTGGAGACAGGGTTTCACCATTTTGGCCAGGCTGGTCTCAAACTCCGCTCAAGCAATCTGCCTGCCTTGGCCTCCTGAAGTGCGGGGATTACAAGCATCAGTCACTGCACTTGATCTGCTTTCTCATTTTATAAAACACTGTGATAATTTTTTTCTTACATAATTTTTTTTTCCACTTTCATTTTAGACTTAGGGGGTAGATGTGCAGGCTTGATTCCTCGGTATATTGCATGATGTGATCATTTTTAGACCTGAAAACTTTTTATTGGAAACTCATAATCAGTATATCTAATGTAAAAGAAGATTACATCATGCTTTAAAAACAAATATTTGTGATTATGAAAATCTGTAATATTTGTTGAAAGAGGAAGATGTAATTGCAAATGTAAACATAAAATGTGGGAAGAAAAACTAAGTAAGAAGTACATGGGCTGGGTGTGGTGGCTCACACCTGTAATCCCAGCACTTTGGGAGGCTGAGGCAGGTGGATCACCTGAAGTTAGGAGTTTGAGACCAGCCTGGCCAATATGGTGAAACCCTGTCTTTACTAAAAATACAAAAATTAGCTGGGTGTGGTGGTGCACGCCTGTAATCCCAGCTACTTGGGAGGCTGAGGCATGAGAATCGCTTGAACCCAGGAGGTAGAGGTTGCAGTGAGCCGAGATGGCACCACTGCACTCCAGCCTGGGTGACAAGAGCAAAACTCCGTCTCAAAAACAACAACAACAAAAAAGAAGTACATAGAGGCCAAGCAAGGTAGTTCATGCCTGCACTTCCAGCACTTTGGGAGGCTGCAGGGAGCAGATAACCTGAGGTCAGGAGTTCGAGACCAGCCTGGTCAAAATAGTGAAACCCTGTCTCTACTAAAAATACAAAATTAGCTGGGCATGCTGGCGTGGGCCTGTAGTCCCAGATACTCAGGAGGCTGAGACAGGAGAAGTGCTTGAACCTGGGAGGTGGAGGTTGCAGTGAGGCGACATTGCCCCTTTGCACTCCAGCCTGGGCAACAAGGAGCAAAACTGTCTCAAAAAAAAAAAAAAAGTACATGGAAAAGACTTTACCTTTTTCATGGCATCTGTAAGTTTTCTGCCTTGCATATAACTTTGGTAAAAGAATTTTATACGTAATAATTAGGCATAATATTCAAGAAAGCAGACTTATTCTCCTCCCCTATAACATATCTAAATATAAAATAAGTACCCTAGAATTGCCACAACTGGCTTAGACTTAAGGATCTCAAGTTTTGCATGTGGGCCTTCAAAGACAAAATATAATTTCCAAACTCTTTATTATGTGGTTTACAGAGCATCTGAAGATTGGTTTCATGAGTCTGAACTTGGTATGAAAGACGTTCAAATTCAAATCCCCAAGCCAGCGCGTCAATGTTTTTGTAGGCTTCACAGTGCTGGGCTCTGCATCCTTCTTTGGCCGCCTTACACCAAAAGGCTGAGTTTGGAAATCAAAAGGGTCAGCCCGGTTTCAGCCCCTCTGCAGACAATAAGTAGAACAGATTAGAATAGATTCACTACTTATTTTATTATACATAATACTTTTACTTTTCCCAATACTTACAGTAGAAAAAAGAAATTTTGCACATCATTGTTTATTTAGATAAGAACATGTTAAGCCTTGAAAAGTAAGTTAAATTGACACTGGAGCTTTACTTCAAACTCTAAACATATAGTTTTTTTTTTTTTTTTTTTTTTTTTGAGACGGAGTCTCGCTCTGTCGCCCAGGCTGGAGTGCAGTGGCCGGATCTCAGCTCACTGCAAGCTCTGCCTCCCGGGTTTACGCCATTCTCCTGCCTCAGCCCCCCGAGTAGCTGGGACTACAGGCGCCCGCCACCTCGCCCGGCTAGTTTTTTGTATTTTTTTTAGTAGAGACGGGGTTTCACCGTGTTAGCCAGGATGGTCTCGATCTCCTGACCTCGTGATCCGCCCGTCTTGGCCTCCCAAAGTGCTGGGATTACAGGCTTGAGCCACCGCGCCCGGCCTAACATATAGTCTTTAAAATGCTAATAATACTATTAGTCATCAAGTTTTACCATTAAATAAATGTTTTAGATACAGTGGCTTTATTTCAGACTCCATTTCCTGTGGCCTAAAAAATGGGAGAAAAATAAACTTCAACTATAAAAATCTAAATTTCAAATAAGAGGTTATTCTATGTGGAAAAAACACAAACAAGCATTTATAAAGACTGAATAGAAATGAATGGAAATGAAAATAACTGACAGTAAATTTCTTGGATTTGCAAATTTTGAATACTTATTTTGAAGGCTGGAATGTTTAGCAACTTTTAACCTTAAATTATTTCAAATCAACCAAGTACTTAGTTTTGAGGAATTTTTGTGAGGATGAGGCTCATTAGTGAGTTTTTAATTCACAAAAATAAAATCCAATTCCAATTACCAAGTAATATTTAGAGTTATCTTAAAGATTATACAGCTGGCCACATGTTTTAGGGAGGTACAACAGTTTATAATGGGACACAATACTTTGCACATATTAAAAGTTAATTCCTATTGTATCTTTATCCTTTTTTCCCTTAAAATATTTTTCATTTTATTTATTCTTACTTTATTATAGTTTTCCTTTTTCCCAGAAATCACCACAACATTACAGTCTGGTATTTAGTATATAAGCATATTTGTTCTTCAGCATAGTTAACATTTTCCACTAGCATCTGATGCCATGCTACTGTTAATTCTGTTAACTCTGCTGCCTAGATTGCTAGACCCCAACCACAGCCTGGCAGAGAGTGAAGGGAGGTTTTGTTTTTGTACCGCTTTATTCTGGTCTAGTGCAACAGGAAGGAAGAGCTTTCTGCCATTGCAGGTACCCAGACTAATGTTAGGAAGGGAAAAAGCTTTAACTCTGAGTAAAATTCAGAGTATTAATTATTGCAACTATTAAGGAGAATATTCAAAACTTGGAAATAAGGTTAAGCGATGGCTGCATGACCTTTTAATGTCATGCTAGAACACTGTTTCAAAAGGCTGCCTAACAGTCATCTAATTCTCCAGGGAAAGTAATTTTGTTGGACACTGTATTCACTATGGCTTGAAGCTAACATATCTACATAAACAAACAATTTTATAGCTAGAGGCTAACTTGAATAAAATGGATGAAGTGTGACAATTCTCTTTTCTGACCAGTAGAAAGAGCAACTTTAAAGATTATACTTTCGTTGCCCTATAGAACCTAACCAGTTTTGTATCTAATTTAGCAATCTTATCTCAGCATTCCTTTTCCCCCCATTCATTATAAAAAACAATAACCAAGTTTTTAATATTACCATTTCAACTAACTTTTTCACCCTACTGGTTCTCTCACTGAGTTAAATGAAACTTGGGCACATGCCCCCAATCTAGTTTATTCTAATTTGAACCTATTTAACTCTCATCCTAGAATTATGTTTCTATGCAGTGGCTCAAGCCTGTAATCCCTGCACTCTGGGAGGCAGAGGCAGGTAGATCAGGAGGTCAGGAGTTCAAGACCAGCCTGGCCAAGATGGTGAAATCCTGTCTCTACTAAAAATACAAAAACTAGCTGGGCATGGTGGCAGGCGCCTGTAATCCCAGCTACTCGGGAGGCTGAGGCAGGAGAATCGCTTGAACTCGGACGACAGAGGTCGCAGTGAGCCGAGATCGTGCCACTGCATTCCAGACTGGGTGATAGAACAAGACTCCATCTCAAAAAAAAGAATCATATTTCTAAGATTACAAGAATTTTATCTTATATCACTGGGGCCAGAAATTGTGCTAAATGGCTATTACTAGCTGTAAGGGAGGCTGGGAATTTGAAGATTCACTTTTTAGTCTTTGTAAGCTAAGAAGGAAAAAAGAGCTTTCAAGAGACCAAACCTATAATAACTGTCACTAAAAATGCATGTGTGGTAGTAATGGCAGGGGAATGGTGAGAGAGAATAATCAAGAATGATCCCCAGATCAGGCTTAGGTTGTAAATCTACTAACATGAAGAACTCCGGAGAAGAAACAGGTCAATACTAAGCACTGAGAAATTAAAAGCTTTATTATTATTATTATTTTGAGATGACATCCACTGATTCAGCCCTGACATTATGTACAATTGTTATGTGCTGGATTTTTTTTTTTTTTTTCTGAGATGGAGTCACTCTGTTGCCCAGGCTGGAGTGCAGTGGCACCATCTAGACTCACTGCAACCTCCACCTCCCAGGTTCAAGCGATTCTTGTGCCTCAGCCTCCCAAGTAGCTGGGATTACAAGCATGCACCACCATACTTGATAATTTTTGTATTTTTAGTAGAGACAGGGTTTCACTGTGTTGGCCAGGCTGGTCTTGAACTCCTGACCTCAAGTGATCCACCTGCCTTGGCCTCCCAAAGTGCTGGGATTACAGGCATGTGCCACTGTGCCCAGCCTGTGCTGCAGATTTTAAAGGAAGAAAAGTAATTTATAATTATCCAAATCCTTGTAATAGTTGGTCAGTTGGGTGGCAAATCCCAGCCTATCAATTACATAGTAGAGTGCCCCATCCAATGAAACAGTTTATGACAGAACGCTTGCATTAGACATTGCTTGTATTAGACACTGGATTTGTGGCCTCCAAGAAAATTTTCCAAGCAAATGACTCTATTTACCTCCAATTTACTACAAAACAAACACCTGAAATATAGGAATTACTTAGAAATTTTAGTTCAAGTGTGTACTAAACACAAATGAAACGTTTTTATAGAGTATAGAAGAACTGTAAAAACACAATGCAATGTTTATTTTCAGATACGGTTGTCCCTCAGTCTACATGGAAGTTTGGTTCTAGGACCTCTGCATATACCAAAATTCATGCATACTCAAGTCTCACAGTTAGCCTTGTGGAACCAGCCAACAAAAAGTTCGCCCTCAGTATACGCAGGTTTCGCATCCCACAAATACTGTATTGTCAATCCACGTTTGGTTGAAATAAATTTACATGTAAGTGGACTCTTGAAGTTCAAACCGTGTTGTTGATGGGTTAACTATACTTAACTTTATAAACACCATCAGCAACAACAATATTACCTTTTTCCTAGGAAAAATATCTGATGGTATTTACAAAGTTCAGTATATTTAAACCCTTTATCTGTCAAACATTAATTTTAGAATTCGATAAGGTTTAATTATTAACCAGATTATTCCTCTTCTACAATTTGACTAGTTGATTATGTGGCAAATAAGGACACCAATCACACCAAGGTGGGATGATACTATAACACTATTGGGTACCTATGACCAAGTCCTCTACTGAGTATGAAAACTTGTAGCCTGCCAAGTCATCCTGAAGTCCACCAATCTTTATTATACTTATTTTAAAGGAATCATCCATTTTGTAAAACTTTTAATTTCCAAAATGTGTACTGCTTTAAATTTGGGAACTCTGTGCACAGTATTAAAAAAACCATGTAGGATGATCCCTTAATAAGATTTATCCCATTAAAACAATGAATTTCTATAAAACTATGCCTTCCAGACTCTATATCCAGTTATTAGGTCATACAGATTTTACTTTTGCAATATCTCTTCTATCTATTCTTTTCAACCCCCTAATCACTGTCTTTAGTCTGATCTATAAATTGGCTGTATTAATATTTATCTTCCTCACTAGGCTACAATAGCTTCCTGTAGGTTTTTTCCTTCCAAATCATTCTGATATTGAATTATACTCCTAGAACAAAGGTTAGAAAATGTCATTTCTGTTTTAAGATGTTCAAATGTTCCCAATGCCTACAGAGTAAAATCCAAACTAGTCCCAAACTACTTCTTTGGTTTCATTTCTTACTACATGCCACTTCTCACTTTATGCTCCAGTTTCAACTGCAAATATCCTAATCCAAAATGAACTTTTGTTCCTATTTGCCTTTGCTAATGCTTTTCCCTCAGCCTGGAATGCTCTTTACCCTTTTTTCCACCTAGTAAAATATACTCATCCTTTAAGATTTGATTCAAATACCGTCATCTCCTTTGGGGAGGACTACATGTCTACCAATCTGAAACAGATTAATAAGTGCTCTAGGCACCCATGGAATTGTACCCTTACAGAAGCATTTATTTTCCATTAGTTTCTGCCTTCTTGGAGCCCATAGAAAAAAAAAGAGTGAATAAATATAAAATAAGAAACATAGTCACAAATATAGGCATAAAGTGTTCAAGTTCAGATACCATATTAAGCAAGTTAAAGTAATTTTTTTTTTTTTTTTGAGACAGAGTTTCGCTGTTGGTGCCCAGGCTGGAATGCAATGGCGCAATCTTGGCTCACTGCAACTTCCACCTCTGGGTTCAAGCCATTCTCCTGCCTCAGCCTCCCGAGTAGCTGGGATTACAGGTGTCTGCCACCACGCTGGGATTACAGGTGTGAGCCAGCGCACTCGGTCAAGTTAAAGCAATTTCTAAATGTATTTGTAAAGCACCTGATTTGTTAGAGCAGATAGTATCCTAACTATTCCGTACAAGATGAAAACCAACTTTGTCATTTTTATTATATTTGAGAGTCACAGGACATTTTTACTTAAAAAAATTTTTTTTTTCCCCGCAGGTTGCAGTGGCTTACGCCTGTAACCCCAACATTTTGGGAGGCCAAGGCAGGTGGATCACCTGAGGTCAGCAGTTTGAGACCCCATCTCTACTAAAAATGCAAAAATTAGCCAGGCGTGGTGGCATGCACCTGTAGTCCCAGGTACTCGGGAGCCTGAGACAGGAGAACCACTTGAACCTGGGATGCAGAGGTTGCAGTGAGCAGAGATCATGCCACTGCACTCCAACCTACACAACAGAGCAAGACTCCATCTCAAAAAAATTTTTTTGTTGTTGTTGAGACAGGGTCTCACTCCAAATGCAGTGATGTGATCACAGTTCACTGTAACTTTGAACTCCTGGGCCCAAACTATCCTCTCACTCCAGTCTCCTGAGCAGCTAGAACCACAGATGCATACCATCACAACTGGCTAATTAAAATTTTTTTTATAGAGACAGGGTCTCACTATACTGTCCAGGCTGATCTGAACTCCTTGCCTCAAGCAATGCTCCTGGCTTGGCCTCTCAAAGTGGTGGGATTATAGGCCACCATGCCTGGCCCATTTTTAATTTGCAAAAAAATTTTTTTTCTAACGACATTGTAATTCTGTATTTTAATTATATCATGTGAGTCCAAGAACATTATATGAAACTATGCTACGTTAATACATATTTTCAAAAAAAAACTTGGAAGGAGATACCTGTTCACTGAATGTCATCTCAGAGTACAGAGATAAAATCCAATTGGCAATTTTTGATGCTCTGAAGTATGTGGGATTGCTACTATTCTTGATAAATTTAAGAGATGAATGCAGTTTATATAGCCAACAAGAAAAATTACACACATAATTTTTTCCTTAACATGTCGTACACTGTGATTTGTAGTAAACCAGGCTGGGTGTGATGGCTCATGCCTCTAATCCCAGCACTTTGGGAGGCTGAGGCAGGAGGATTTCTTGAGCCCAGTTTGAGACAAGCCTGAGCAACATGGCAAACCCCCACGTCTACAAAAAATAGCCAGATGTGATGGTGCATGCCTGTAGTCCCAGATACTCGGGAGGCAGAGGTGGGAGAACTGCCTGAGCCCAGGGAGGTTGAGGCTGCAGTGAGCTGTGATCGTGTTACCGCACTTTAGCCTGGGCGACAGAGTGAGACTCTATCTCAAAAAAAGAAAAAAAAAAAAGTAAACCAACTACCAAAGTACTGCAAAATAAATTTCTTAAACATGAAACACATGATACCTTGGAAAGGTGACATATGTGGCTGTTTCCTCCTTTTTTTCCTTCTCTTTCTTGGTGTTTCATATTTTGTCCTGAAAACAAAAGGAAACATATTAATGATTGCTTCCATAAAAAAAGACACACAGACCTTATTTATTTTTTAGTAGTGATTACATTCATGGCCCAAAATTTAAAAAGCAAAACATCTCCCTTCTACCTGTCAACCAGCCATCTAAATTTTCCCTTGGTCACTTATGGTTGTTATAACAAAATGCCACAGGTGGGTGACTTAAACAACAGACATTTCTCACAGTTCTAGAGATTTGGAACCCCAAGATCAAGTTGTCATCAGATTCAATGTCTGGTTAGGGTCCACTTCCTGGTCTCCAGACTACCTCTTATCATGGTATCCCCACAGAGTTGAGAGAGGAAGCTCTAGTATCTCTTCTTCTTCCTCTTTTTTTTTTTTTCTTGAAATGGAGTCTCACTCTGTCACCCAAGCTGGAGGGCAGTGGTGCACTCTTGGCTCACTGCAACTTCCATCCCCTGGGTTCAATTAATTTTCCTGCCTCAGCCTCCCAAGTAGCTGGGGTTACAGGCATGCACTACCACACCCTGTTAATTTTTGTATTTTCAGTAGAGACAGGGTTTTACCATGTTGGCCAGGCTGGTCTCGAACTCCTGACCTCAAGTGGTCTGCCTGCCTCAGCCTGCCAAAGTGCTGGAATTATAAGGGTGAGTCACCGCACCTGGCCTCTTCCTCTTGTTATAAGAGCACTAATCCCATCATGGGATATCTACTCTCATGATCTCATCTAGACCTAATTACCTCCCAAAGGCCCCACCATCTAATACATTGTTGGGGGATTAGGATTTTAGCATATGAATTTTGGAGGAACACATTTAGTCCATAATATTTCCCAAAGATAACAACAAATCTTACAGTTTTTTTTTTTTTTTTTTTGCATATCTTTCCAAAATACTTGTACGCATTTATAGGTTACTAAGTATATATGTTCTTCCCTTCAACACCACTACTTCCATAAATGGCAACACATTTTACACACCATCCTGTGTGGCTATAACTTGAAGGCCATTCCTAATCACTAAGCAAAGGCTTACTTAGTATTTTTTTATGATTGCAATATATTCCATTGTATAGAGATTCCAGAATTTAATCAGCCTACTACAGATGGACAATTATGTTGTTTCCAATCTTTTACATACAATATTGCTACAAATAACGTGTAAACATGTGGTTTTAAAGGTGTGTGAATAAATTACTAGAAGTGTAATTGAGGACTCTGGATTATATGTATTTCTAATTTTAATAGATATTGTCATATTGCCCTCCACTGACGCTGAATCAACGTTCTTCCCCATCAGCAGAAAGTACCTAAACTTCTCTGAACCTTGTTCCCCATGTTATTACATGATGTGATAACAAACTTTTGAATCTTTTAACTAATTAGGTGAAAAATGACATTTTTAATTAAAATCTTCATTTTTGTTACCATGAGTAAGTTTGAGTATCTTTAAATAAATTTAAAAGGCATTTATATCTTCCTTTTGTGAGCTGTCTGGTCGTATCTTCTGCACATTTGTCTACTGGGTTGTAAGGCCTTCTAAAATTGATTTTTTCCCCATCCTAAATCACATTTTTAGACTACCTGGTGTGGCCAGCCCTATCGTAAATCACGTGACCCAAGGCCTCCAGGCAAACAAAGATAAAAGTTGAGTATTCTTTATCCAAATGCCTGGGACCAGAAGTAATTCTAATCTTAAATATTTTTTTTATTTTGGAATATTCATATATACAGAATGAGACACCTTAAGGATAGGACCCAAATTCTAAAAACAAAATTCAAGGCTGGATGCAGTGGCTCATGCCTGTAATCCCAGCTACTCAGGATGCTGAGGCAGGAGGGTCCCTTGAGGCCAGGAGTTTGAGACCAGCCTGTGCAACATAGAGAGACCATGTCTCTAGAAAAAAATTTAAAAATTAGCCGGGTGCAGTGGCATGCACCTGTGGTTCCAGCTACCCAGGAGGCTGAGGTGGGAAGATCACTTGTGCCCAGCAGTTCAAGGCTGCAGTGAATTAGGATTGCATCACTACAGTCCAGCCTGGGTGACAGAGACAGACCCTGCCTCAATACAAACAAATTAATTAATGAAGTTAGTTTATATTTCATATATACCTTAAACACATAGCCAGAGGGTAATTTTATACAATAATTTTTTTTTTTTTGAGACAGAGTCTCGCTCTGCCACCCAGGCTGGAGTGCAGTGGCGGGATCTCAACTCACTGCAATTTCCACCACCCAGATTGAAGCGATTCTTATGGCCTTAGCCTCCCGAGTAGCTGGGATTATAGGCACGCGCCACCACACCCAGCTAATTTTTGTATTTTTAGCAAAGACAAGATTTCACCATGTTGGCCATGCTGGTCTCAAACGCCTGTGATCCACCCATCTCGGCCTCCCAAAGTGCTGAGATTACAGATGTGAGCCACCACACTCGGCCAATAATTTTTTTTTTTGACACAGAGTCTTGCTCTGTCACCCAGGCTGGAGTGCAGTGGCATAACTTTGGCTTACTGCAACCTCTGCCTCCCCGATTCAAGAGATTCTTGTGCCTCAGCCTCCGGAGTAGCTGGGATTACAGGTGCACACCACCAAGCCCGGCTAATTTTTGTATTTTTGGTAGAAACGAGGTTTCACCATGTTTGCCAGGCTGGTCTAGAACTCCTGACCTCAAGTGGTCCGCCTGTCTCGGCTTCCCAAAGTACTGGGATTACAGGCATAAGCCATCATGCCTGACCTATGCAATAATTTTTAATAATTTTGTGCATAAAATAAAATTTGCGTGCATCGTAACATCAGGAAGCAAAGGTGTCACTACCTCAACCACTACCCATGTGGGTAATCTGTGGTTGTTTGGCATCACCATCATTCCTGACTCTGAAATTTATTTGCTACTGATAAGGAATCATTTTCCTATACTTATTCCCACATAAGTACATAACAGCAAAAAATATGATACACCAGTAATCGAATGAAAAAATAATACATTCAGGGTAACCAAGCAGCACAGTAGCACCACCAGAATACCTGTCATCAGCTGTTAAACAACAGCAACAACAAACAATGGTAGGCTTTCAGTCCCCACCTATCATGCTGTGTTTTGATTAAAAGGTTACTATACACCATTTTTTTAAGTTATCAGAAGCAGGTGAGAGACCAAGAAGTGGGTCTTCTAAGGATAAGAAGGCTTTCTGCTGGATGGCTTTTTAAAATGTTTTCTCCAGAGTCATCTGCCTTATTAACAATGCTTTTGATTTAGAAGTCTCTCTCTGACATTACAAACTGTATGATTTCTTGTTCTTTTGTAAACGTACACTGTTTTAGTCCTTCAATAAGCCCATCACACATTTTCACCATTGCTATCGTTTGGATATTTGACTCTCCAAACCTCATGTTGAAATCTGATCCCCAGCGTTGGAAGTGGGGCCTAATGGGGTGTTTGGATCATGAGGGCAGATCCTTCATGAATGTCTTGGTGCCATTCTCTCAGTAATGAGTGAGTTCTAACTCTATTAGTTCCCACAACAGTTCACCTAGAACTGGTTGTTGAAAGAGGCTGGTACCTCATCCTCTCTCTCTCTTGCCTTCTCTCTCACCGTGAGATCTGCAGGTGCAGGCTCCCCTTCACCTTCTGCCATGAGTGGAAGCAGCCTCAGTCTCTTGCCAGAAGCAGATGCTGGAGCCATTCTTGTACAGCCTGCAGAACCATAAACCAAGTAAACCTCTTTTCCTCCTTTTTTTAGAGACAGGGTCTTACTCGGTTGCCCAGGCTGAGTGCAGTGGCACAATCATAGCTCACTACAGCCTTGAACTCCTGGGCTCAAGAGATCCTCCTGCTTCAGCCTCCTGAGTAGCTGAGACTATAGGTATGTGCCACCACGTCTGGCTAATTATTAAAACTTTTTGTAGAGATGGGGTTCTTGCTATGTTGCTCAAGCCGTTCTCAAACTCCTGGGCTCAAGCAATCCTTCTGTCTCAGCTTCCTGAAGTACTGGGATTACAGGTGTGAGCCACTGCGCCAGGCCTAAGTAAACTTCTTTTCTTTATAAATTAACCAGCCTCAGGCATTCCTTTACAGCAACACAAACAGGCTTAGAAAATCATGTTGTCTGTAGGTATTTTTCTACAGTGTTAACAATATTCATCTTCGTTGTCACCATTTTCATGACCACCTTGACTCAGAACCATTTCAGCTATTTCATCACTGGTCAATGAATGAACAACTGGAGTCTCATTATCAATGTTAAAAACTTCAATACCCATTTTTCCAGCTTTCAGGACTCTGAAGGAGTATTTTCTTGCATATGTAAGCAGGCCAGATTGCTTATCATTTTTTCTCATTTGACATATGGAATTCTTCAAAGTTACCATCTTGTTCATCTCACTGAACACAGTTGCAGGCCAGAGGTTGTGCCAGGCATGCATAAATTTGTCTTTAATCACTGTGCTCCAAGTGCTGGCAACAGCATAGATGGTAAACTTCGTGCTAAACTCCTGAAAACCTTCCACAGCCATGCCCCTGTCCACTGCTGTTGCATGCTATTCAAGAAAACGTTTTTATATTTACTCTTCATTGATCTAAGGATACTCTGTCACATGGCTGAATTAATAGTCACATTTTGGGGAAAGTACATGACATAAACATTATTTTTTATGAGAATTTCAGCTGGAGTATGAGCAGAACATTTGTCAAGGAATTTTTAAAAATTTTGTAGTCATCACCCAGTGCAGCCTTCTGTGCTGTGAGCCTGAGCCACTAGTATACAATTTTTGTGAAACCAATCAGAAAAGATATTCCTGGTTATTCAAGCTATTTTGCTAGCATGATGATGGACACATAAGAAATTCACCTACTGAAAACAGCAAGGACACAGCTTTTGCCTATCACAGCAAGTTTACACTTAATGTGTGCTTTATGCATTAGCCCGTATCAGCAGTTATCCTGTCCCTGACATCCTTAATTCTATAGGGGCTGTGTCATCAGCTGTAGTCAGTGTCCTTCCAGGGCA